CTATGTGAACAAGGAGGGACGCGGTGAGATACTGACGATGTAGAGAGAAATCTGAACACGGCTTTAAAGTCACCCCCCTTGCCAAGACACTAAAAGGGTTACATTTCATATATACGTTTTACACTTAAAATCTTATTAATAATTGTGGGGATTATTATGAGTGTAATATAGCTGAATGATATCTTTTAAGAAACGTGTTGGATGACATATTACCCTATAGAGGTTTGATATTTTTAACTTTTAAAGTGAGATGGTTTGGTACAAACTGGGGGGATGAGAGGTAGAAGTAAGGAGCCATCCAGCTGTCAGGGAGGGCTTAATAAAAAACAAGATATGAGATTACAGCCATGCTGGGAGCTGTGTGGAGGATGTATTTAGGCACCGTGGTGGTGAGAGAAATGCTGACATCAGCTTGCCGTGCTGATGTTTAGCAACTAATGTTCAGCATCTTAATCGTAGTTTATTAGCATGCAAATTTGCACAAAATTCAAAGTACAGCTAGGGTTGATGGGAATGTCATTAGTTTTATTTATCCATTTTAGCATATATTTACTAATAAACCAAAGAACCGGACAATATAGCTACAGTTTTGATCTGATGATGGTGATAGGAAAAAAGAAAGGGGCACATGTAAATAAATCAAAATTTTACTGGGAAAAACCCCCCAAGAAAATGAGGGATCTGTATCCAAACCAAAATTCTTAGACATATCTAGACGTGATCCTTGAGGCCTTGCGTAGAAAATCAAACTGGACGCATGTGTTATTAAGCTGATGCCAAATAGCCCCACAACAGCCTTGAGGCATTCATTTAAATATTACTCAAAATGTGATTTGGGGGGTCTCAAGCCATTCTACTCCTACTGCTGGTCCCAGGCCCGGATAAATGGGAGGGCTGTGGCAGGTAAGGCATTTGTAAAACCTGTGCCAAAAATGTAGATCCATCCAAGTAAGGGAGCAATGCTGCAGTCTTCAAAGAAATTGAGGTTTGTGAAAAAAAGAAACAAACAAACAAAAAAAAACACACACACACACACACACACACACACACACAAAAAAAAACACGTGAAGAAAAATCTCTCATAAATAAACTGCTGGAAAAGGTGTGCATATCTAAGACCCTGTCACTGATGATAAGCAAAATGTGTTTGCCCTTCAAAAGCAGCGTAAATGAATAAATAAATTACAACAATTACAAGTCATTAATCAGTTTATTTACTTTGATGCCAAATTATGAGTCTTCTGCTCAACAACATCATTGCTAATATTTAAAACATTAATTCACAAATAAAGCCAATAAAATAAAACATAGAAACAAAAAGAGAACCAACAACAAACCAGGTAATGTAGCTAGCATCCATCCAGGTATCAATTGATGTCAACTGCTGCTTTTTTAATTACTGACATAAACTATCAGTATAATCAGTAGAGTATAACTGCTTGCTGTTTAAAGAAAAGCTACAGTATGAACCACCTGTTTTTTTTAAATTTACTGTCAGTTTATTGCAAAAGTAATCTTGATGTTCTTTATATTTTAAGAAAAAGACAGCACAGCTTGATCAAGCAAGCACTTTGTGAATGTGGGGATAAAGAACTCCATTTTAACAGGAAGTGACCTCTATCAGAACCACACTCAGGAAAGAGCAACCTTCCGCCATGACTGTTTGAAGGGTGAGGGGTTAGACATTGAAACCTGTTGTTTTTGTAATTATTTCCACTATTGATGTCTTTGGTTGAGTTACTTTGTTTGAGAGGGACAGGTTGGGTCAAGTGATTTAAATACAGCCATACAGAGATGCTGATTTGAGGAGAATTCATGTGAAACTGACCATGACCATTCGTAAAGAGAGATCACAGACTTTATAGCACTTTAAGAGGCTAACTCATCAGATTTAACAGCTGCTATATAGGAAGCAGCAAACTGACAGCAGATATTTTTCTCTGCCTGCTCTGCTTTGTAGGTGAGGTGCAGTTAATTTACAAAGAGCCTATTGGTTAAACACATGCAGCCAATCTATATTCTCCTTGATTTGTCTGTTCTTGTGACCATCAGACAATTTCAGAGTTTGTTGGCTTGTTTTCCCTTCAGTGTAATTACTGGTAAGAAGTGAAAGACTAAATATTTACAGAATGATAAGACTTGAATTGTACAATTGTACTGGCTGTAAGTTAAATTTTCTATTCTATTCTATTTTTCTATTCTGTAAAATAGTCAGATTGCCTATTC